TTACTAGCGAAAAGTTGTTCCATTATTTCACTCGATTTTTGCCGAGATCTACCGCACGCTACACAACCAACTATTTTAGAGTCTTTTTCGATAAAGCGCGATAGTGTCACTGTTAATTTAAGTTCTGCCACAATTTCCATCTAGATTTACTACCTTTATACAACTATCAGTAGTAGAATAAATAATAAATAACATAAAATAAGCTCCGTAAAGACTGACAAATCCACAAAATTTCAAATCAAATTCAAATGTGTCAAATGAATCGTCAAACACAACTGTCAAGGATCCCCACCCTAGAGTGCTTTTTCCGCCCACCATGGATGAATACATGGATAGCATTATGCTCCTTCCTTAGTCTTCTTATTCAAAGGAAAAGATGCCAGTTTTTCCGCCAGACATTTCCGCCAGTTTTTTTACCGAAAACCGTTCTCAAGACATTTGGAATGTAAATTATCAATAATATGACATTACTGACAAGAAATAAACACGTTGACTAGAACTTAAATGATAAATTTGAGAACTTCTTTTATTTAATTAATCTTTTTTAGATAATTTTTTTTGAAAAAATTCTGATTATTGTACAAAATTATTATACACATACATTATATGAAACAGTTTCTATTGGCACAAAAACATTTCATATTTATGATTGCAGTCTAATATATAACTTGTCAATATGTTCAATTTTTGTCATTGATGACATGTTTGTATTGGTTACTTCAATTCCGAATTTACAGGGCGGCGCACCTCATTCGCCTCGGTTGATTATACGAAAACGGAAAGATCTAGAACCAAAATATTTTATGAGTAATGGGAAGGCAATGTGTACAATTTAAAATTATTTTCAAATGTACAGGGTGTGTCAGAACTAAGATCCATACCAAAGTTATGTTCTTTCTTATGGAACACCTGGTATTCTATTTCATTTTTGGATTCTTGGACATAAAATAAGGCATTTATTATAAGGGTTTAATATATTTAAAATCTTTGGTTTTTGAGATATTTAAAGATATTTAAATATGCATCCTATAATAAAAAAGTTTGTCAACACCTTGTATCGGATGACCAACTAAGAATGGACGCCGGCTGTATCTCAGAAACTACTTATCGTATAACTTTGGCAAAAAAATTCTAATATGTAAATCGACCAAGAGAAATCGCTGGAAAGTATTTTCAAGTTCGAAAAATGTCCGCTAGAGGGCGTTTCTCTAATAGCCAATCAGAAAACAGGATTTTTCTCAAAAATATGCAGGTGAACAGGTATTTTAAATATTACAATTGTAATCACCGAGAAATTTGTAATTTTTTTGATATAGAGTATTTTGCTCATATCTCATAAAATAAAGTGGTGGGGGAAGGTTAAACTTGCTTTTATTAAAATAAGGATAACTCTGGTTTAGGTTACGCGATTTAAACAAACTAGGGCTCGTTTAAAAGAGCTTTTCTTCCTTAATGATCTCCAGTATAAATTTTGTTTCCACAATTTTTTTCGTGTTAGCTAGAGGGCGCTGTATACATCATAACAGATATTGCGCTTTTGCGTAAAAAAATTAAATAGGAGGCTATATTTCTCTTTGTACAGTTAAATAGAGCACAAAATTTCCAAAATATCAGCGCAAACCGCAACTTTCTATCTGCTCTCTAACCGGAGATATTAAGAGAACAAATCATGTTAGGCTGCCGCTTAGGATTATATGGTCTAAAAATTATAGTAGTAGGCTAAGAAACAAAAAGAGGTAAATGGGTTACGTCAAAATATCAAAACGTTTAAGTTCAGTTTTCATGCATCCGAATTTCGGGCATTTTCTTAAAAAAAATGACGTCATAATTATTTAAACGTGTTTATGTAACATTATCATCCATCCATATAATTTTTACGAATTTCTTGGTTAATTATACGTAATTAGTTCTCAGATTAAAATGTGCGAAAGTCGGAGAATCAATAATTTTATTAAAATTTCTAGGAATTTTGTGCCGCCATATTGATTTTAACAGAAAAAGGCCGAATTACGTATGGTCGAAACTACGGGTTAAAAAAAATAAACGGGTTTATTTATATAACGCATTTAGTTATTAATCCAAGTTCGTCCTTGATTTCACTTGTTTTCGTGTTTTACCTGTTGTTTGTGTTATTTATTATTATATTATAAAGTTTATGTCGTTTGGGTCACTTTTCATATAGCACCGAACGAAGGGGCGAATCGTAACAATATGCACTACTGCTCTAAATCTGCCCTTGATGCAAGTAGTTTAGCACCAAGACCGTTGGTCGGTAAATGTTTACGCAGGAATTCTAGGATGGCGATTGATTGGACTTTTTTAATTATCTGAATGAAATGAACTATCCATAATTTCTAAGAAATGATTTGCCAGTTTTGTTAGTGGATCCATCATGATGAAATTGCATTTGTTGCAATTTCATCAGCATGAATGCCGTTGGTGTAGTTGAGGCAGTGGTGCTTATTTTGCTATTAATGTGTGGGGCTTCTTGGATACCATTTACTTTAGTAGATAGAGACGCCGGAGCGGCATATTTCCATGGCCAGCTCGGTCATCGGATACAATATGCCTGGGTTTTAATTTATGGGGTCGAAACAAGAACGAAACATGGATAGATAATAATTAAACGGTATTAAAATGAAATTAAAATATATGTTTTGATATTTTCACGTAACCAATTTACCTCTTTTTGTTTCCTAGCCTACTACTATAATTTTTAGACTATATAATCCTAAGCGGCAGCCTAACATGATTTGTTCTCTTAATATCTCCGGTTAGAGAGAAGATAGAAAGTTGCGGTTTGCGCTGATATTTTGGAAATTTTGTGCTCTATTTAACTGTGTAAAGAGAAATATAGCCTCCTATTTAAATTTTTTACGCAAAAGCGCAATATCTGTTATGATGTCAAACAGCACCCTCTAGCTACCACGAAAAAATTGTGGAAACAAAATTTATACTGGAGATCATTAAAGAAGAAAAGCTCTTTTAAACGAGCCCTAGTTTGTTTAAATCGCGTACCCTAAACCAGAGTTATCCTTATTTTAATAAAAGCAAGTTTAACCTTCCCCCACCGCTTTATTTTATGAGATAGAGAAAAATACTTTATATCAAAAAAATTACAAATTTCTCGATGATTACAATAGTAACATTTAAAATACCTGTTCACCTGCATATTTTTGAGAAAAACCCTGTTTTCTGATTGGCTATTAGAGAAACGCCCCCTAGCGGGCATTTTTCGAACTTGAAAATAATTTCCAGCGATTTCTCTTGGTCGATTTACTTAATAGATTTTTTTTCCGAAAGTTATATGATAAGTAGTTTCTGAGATACAGCCGGCGTCCATTCTTAGTTGGTCACCCGGTACATTACTTTTCAGAATTAATTCTTGTGCTAATTTTCACGTCAGAGAAATAAACTTTACTAAAAAAATTCATTTCTTCCTTAAATGTATACAGGGGTATCAAAAATTGCTGGTCTATTTTAAATATGTTTTTTACATAAAACTTCGTTATTTCAAATGCAACACTATGTATTTTTTAAATAACTCGAAGCAGATTTAAATGCTCTTTCAAACTATATTAGGGTTTCCTATACCTATCTGGCTCAGATTTTGAATAAAAAGCGATTTTTCAATAAAATGCCAATAAATACGGCTGTTGTCGCCATAGACAGTATCTATTTTCTAGTGACACTTAGTAACTATTTTCAAAATCGACATTGGTTTACGGACTTTATTTAAATTTAAAGCAGGTTATTTTTATTCAATTTACCTACCATAAGGTTAATAAGTAAGTATTTACCAGCCACCAGCCATCTTGATTGCCATTTTATTGAAAAATGGCTTTTTATTCAAAATCTGAGCCAGGTAGGTATAGGAAACCCTAATATAGTTTGAAAGAGCATTTAAATCTACTTCGACATATTTAAAAAAATACATAGTGTTGTATTTGAAATAACAAAGTTTTTTTTTGTAAAATAAATATTTAAAATAGACCAGCAATTTTTAATACCCCTGTATACGTTTAAGGAAGCAATCAAATTTTTTAGTAAAGTTTATTTCTCTGGCTTGAAAGTCAGCACAAGAATTAACTTTGAAAAGTAATGTACCAGGTGTTGACAAACTTTTTTATTATAGCATGCATATTTAAATATCCTGAAATGTCTCAAAAACCAAAGCTTTTAAAGATATTAAACCCTTATAATAAATGCCTCATTTTATGTCCAAGAATCCAAAAATGAAATAAAATACCGGGTGTTCCATAAGAAAAATATATAACTTTGGTATTGATCTTAGTTCCGACACACCCTGTATATTTGAAAATAATTTTAAATTATGCACATTGCCTTTTTACATATACCCATAAAAAAATTTGTTTCTACATCTTTCCGTTTTCGTATAATCAACCGAGACGAATGAGGTGCGCCACCCTGTATATATGTAGAACACTTACTCAAAGCGATTTATACTAAGATATCTTTTTTATATAAAAAAAAAACGGCAGAAATGTATATTTTTTCACTAGGTAGTTTTATACAGGTAAGGACCAAGTGATTACTTTTCATAACAGTTAAAAGACATGTTACGCCCACCTACAAGTAAGAGTCATATTGACATTGAAATCAAATTTCCCATGTCAAAAAACTCACAGACACCAAGTTTCATCCAAATATCGAAGTTCTGAAAACATTTGGAAAAAATCAAAATAAAAATGAAACTTCTACGCTATATCTCCGAAACTAAGCATTTTAGGACATACATTTATACAAACTTTTTTACTTATTTTTATCTGCAGAATATGCTGCCAAAGTTTCCCAAATACAATTTGCACCGCCTTGTACACCTAATTTATCTAAAGCTATTGGTACCCTTTATATAACCCAACCTATATTTATAACACAAATATATTCAATACAATTTAAAGGATGTTAATAATTATTATTTAATGCTTTGGTACTTATTAATAAGCAGAAATATAAATATAAAAGCAAACATAACTTACCTAATGCTTGCAAGTTAGGCATATCAAGATTGCCTCTGGGTCCTCCTTGATTTCCCCAATTCCCTTGATTGGGTCCTGGAGGTCCATTATATCTTTAATATACAGGTAAATAGTATTAGTACAAAAAAGTGACCAAAGATTGACATTCAGAGTTTTGGCATATACATATAAATATGTTATTTTGAATAATGTTTTATCAAATATAAATAAATTGTATTAATTATTAGATTCTTTACCTTTGTGGGTACATTCCGCCCGGCCCATCTGGACCACTTGGAGGACCCCTATTGCTGTGGGGACCTCCCCTATCATAACCGTGTTTAGATCTTGTTTCAGATTTTGGAGCAGCATTTGAAACATGAACAGAAACACCTAATAATAAAAATTAAATACAAATTACATTTTATATTGCTAATTCTAAATTATTAATATAATAGTAATAGAAACACCTAATAATAAAAATTAAATACAAATTACTTTTTATATTGCTAATTCTAAATTATTAATATACAGGGTGGCGCCTTTCATACGCCGCGGAAGCTCCAAGGAGAACAGTAGTTTATATCGAAATGAAATTTTGGCAGCATAATGTAGGTTAACTGAAAGCATTTCATAAAAATATAGAGAGAGAGTTCTACAGGTTGTCCCCAAAAAAAGTTGTCTTTTTTCTAATGGAACAACACCCTATATATTAATTGATTTTCAGATCCTGGGAGAAAAATAAAGGTAAGTTTTATTAAAGAATCATATACCTAAAATCTAAGGATTGACAGGGTGAGACAAAATTAATATGGAACATTATCGTCACTTTTAAAAGCAAGTTACGCCTTTATTTTAAGTAGAACACCAAGTATATTATTCTGGTGTTCAATGGGGAATTTATATTTTCTTTTAATTTTTATAATTTTGCGTCAGTAGATAATATATAGGATGTTTCATTACAAAAAACAAAACTTTGATATGTAACTTTTTTTGGGAACACACTGTAGAAATCTCAATATTTAAAAAGTGTTCTGAATTAACCTACATATGCTCACAAAATTTCATTTCAATACAAACTGTCATTCACCTTGGAGCATCCACGTCGTATGAGAGGCGCAACCCTGTATATAAATGAAATATTTTAACACACATAATACCTTTAATGATATGGTCTTCACCACATAAACTTTGAGCAACTTCAGGGTCTAGAAACGTAACAAAACTAAAAGCTCTAAATGGTTTAGGGATAAAAACATCTGTAACTTCTCCAAATTTACCAAAATATTCACGTAAATCATCAGCAGTTAAATCTTCTGTACATCTGCCAATAAACACTTTGCAGGGAACCTGCTGAATGAGTCCTTCCTAAAACAAAACTTAAATCAGCTTCTCAATGTTTGGAATGAAATTATACTTTACTTTTGAATTAGGTACTTTCACATCACACCAGCGTCCATCAATCATGTGTCTTTGAGTCAATACCCTCATTTGTGATTCATAAGAGGCAAACCTTATGAAACCAAACCCTTTCGACTGACCCGTTTTTGGATCTTTCTTAACCTGAATAACAAAAAATAAAATAAAATTGCACAAGTAAATTTGTTTCATTTAATTGACCTGTGCCATTAAGACTTCACCAAACGTTTCAAAATATTCTCTCAAATTTTGCTCTGTAGTTTTCCATGGTAAACCTAATACTATTAAATCAGTACAACGTAATTTGGTTTCCATACGTTTAGTCTTGGCGGTAGTGTTTTCAAGATTATCATCACTTTTTCGTTTATTTTCTAGAAAAAAAATATCCAGATATTTTCTATCACAGAGCTGTTATAACTAAATTTTTAAGTTCTGATAAGATCATTTACAAAGATATCAATTAAGAACTTACCAATTTACTATCAAATATTACATTACCTTAACAAAAATTTAATGTAAACAGGAGCATAAAATTTTGATATGCAGTAGCTTGCATCTTCCTCAAGATAAAACAATAAATTACAATGCAACATTACAGTCATCACTGTGTATCTTTTAGATATTAATATGTTTCTAATATACTGTTAAGAAATATGACGTATACCTATATTTTCCTTTCAAATATCAATCTCATCAAACCACAAGACAAATAACTTACTCAGCCAAATAATACAATTAGGGCTATTTTACTATAAACACTCTTAATTCTTACTTCAAGCTAAATACTGTTAATAACTAGGTAAAAGTTACCGTAATAAGAAGTATAAAAAGGTAAAAAAATACATACATAAAGTGTGGCTATTAATCTTTTTTTCAAAAACAGTCATCAAGACCAGCAGCTCTAACCTCATCTTCAGGTGATACAGTCATTTTCACTCATGTCTTATTCTTATTTATTTTGAAGTAAATTATAATAGCTGATAGTTTTGTCATTAGATAGAATGAACATACAGATATGCATCACAATAACAGCTCAATATTCAATGTATATTATATGAGTAATTTAAATTATCTTTCTTTCTTAAGATTTAAAAATACTTATATTTTAAATAATCGTACATCCATCAACTGGTCTTACTAACCTTTAGGAAACACACAGTAATAAATATGCGAACCCCAACCACCCTCAGGTGGTGGGTGCAAGCGCCCATCGTTCAACCTCACGCCCCTTACAGACTTATTCTCTGGATTTCTATACTTGAGCCCTGAAGCTCCCGGAAATTGAGCAGATAGGGTACTTAAAAGTAAAGTACCGTCATCTTCGGTCGGGAGCTCTATAGGCTCTTCGCCCTCATCTTCTGCTACTTGCAAATACTCGATCGACATTCTTACAAAACACTCAGACACTCAAGTCGCTCACGCACATTAATTTAGCGATATACGCTAAAAATCAAATCAGAACAAATATTAGAAATAATAGAATATAGAAGAATGAATATATCCAATATGGCCGGCTGGTAGCAGAAGATAAATGGCCGGCTTAAAATGACAGAATGACAGCAGCGTTGCCAGAGACTTTTCCAAAATTGTACTATTCGGTGCTAAAAATGTACCAGATTTTGATCGATTTGATCGAAAATGTACCAGACAAATCGCGCATCAGTCAAAAGTCGTCTCGGCACTGTCAGGGTGCAGCCACACTATCCTAAAAACGGCGTATCGGCGTAACGGCGTAATGACCTTGAATAGATTTCCAGTAATTCTATTGGCTGAAACATTCATCTGTCAGAAATTTTATCTGTCAAATTCATCTGTCAAAAATTTCAGCCAATAGAATTACTGGAAATCTATTCAAGGTCATTACGATATTTGGAGTGTAATTTGCCGATTTTTATTCAAAAAATTATTGTTGTAATCAATGTTTACTGTTAAAAAATGTACCAGAAATGTAAAAAATGTACTTTGGTACAAACGGTTCCAAAATGTACCAGATCTGTACAAATGTACCAGCTCTGGCAACGCTGAATGGCAGATGCTTTGAATAAGAAGACTAATGGTGGGTTCATACAGCCCAAAGCCAAATAAAATAAAATAAGAATAAAATGGTAATGGTGTGGATCCGGTGGCTGACCTTGAAACGAGTTTTTGCTGCATATAGTCACAGACACTACGCAGGCGCACATCTTCGATGTTGCCAGATTGCAAGTTATTTTGGAATTATTTTCAGTAGAAAACAAATATGTGCTTTTCAGTGTTTTTTGTCAATATATACCGTATGATCGAAAAAACGGCGTCCAGTTGGCTGAATAAAAATGACAGCGATCTTTATTTCATAGTCATCGCTGACGCTATTTTTTTTCAATCATAGTACGCGGTATATATTTATATTATTATTTTAATATTTCGCACAACACGTGAACGCTTATTATGTATTTTCATAGTAATAAAATTAAATAGAAATAAAACTCTAGATTCCCATAATTAATCTAATTGCTCTAGATTATTATGCTACGTTTAAAAGTGCTTCATTAAAAAATTCGGATGTGTCCAAGTTTTTTTTTTTTTTAATTTTTAAATGCTGTAGCTTCATGTCATGTTTATAACAGGTTTTTTTTAACATTCCATCAAAACTACGGAGGCTTTAAAAGGCCTTTTAGCCTCCGTAATTAAAATTGTAGAATCAGCTTCAGCAACATTAACAGTTACCTTGTTTAATTCTGCTATACATATATTGTATTAATTCTCTGCTACCTTCGGTAGCAATCTATTCTTACACCTAATGTATGTGATTTTCTTAGCATATATGATTTATAAACCATATTTTTCCTAATGGAAGGATGGAATAGGATATACAAAATTAAGATATTTTAACATCTATTTTCCAGACAAAGCATGATATAGTATTAAGATTAAGACATAACAAATATTATAAGAAAGATCTTAATATAAATCACAAACTAACTAAGTCTTAATTTGGTCTTGTAGTCTTGTATAAACATAGGTATAAAACTAATAAGATCAAAACTCAACCTTCACCATATTGTCAAGATTTGGCATTTTAGGAAACAATTAATTACAGTAAATTAAGAAAAGAATATCAAAGTACACGATATTAAATACTGTAATATATTCTACGACACAAGCCATCTCCCTTCTAAAGAGAAAAAGATAAAACATAAAGCTTATTTTAGTCTTATCAACACACTCTTCGATAAAATATATGTCTAAAATTGCTATTAATCTACTAACTTGATATTTTTAAGAAACTATGATACAAACATTATAATCAAAGTAGGTAAAATGTTACCTCTATCTTCCATTGACGTGTATTGTACTATAAGACTCGTCATGGTAGTACTTTAATACATATAACCAAAACTATTGTTGCCTGTAAATAACTAGAAATTAAACAACTTGGAGTAATAAATGATGTGTCATATTGATGATACAAAATAATTCTAATAAGTTTAAAACCATTAAGAAAAAATCCGTAAATGATAATTTTTAATTGTAATGTAAATATATAAATACATACGTTATTATTATTACAATTTTATATACTCATAATACTTTCATTTCATAATCTTCATTTTCCTTCTTACCTTAATTTTGGATATCAAGATAAGTCTCAAATTAGTATACCCTCAAATTATAAAGTTAATTATAGAATTTGTATTATTACTGATTCACACTCAAAAAAAAATAATTTTGAACTGCAAAGAATTCGAAAATAAACTGCAATTTGGCAACATCGACGATGTGCGCTTGCGTAGTATCGATGATCAAATGCAGCAAATATGGGCTTCAAGGTCAGCCACCGGATCCACACCTTTACCGTATTTTTAACTATTCTTAACACAGTTTTAAATTTCGGTAATGGTGTGGATCCGGTGGCTGACCTTGAAACGAGTTTTTGCTGCATATAGTCACTGACACTACGCATGCGCACATGTTCGATGTTGCCAGTTTGCAAGTTATTCTGGAATTATATTCAGTAGAAAACAAATATGTGCTTTTCAGTGTTTTTTGTCAATATATACCGTGTGATCGAAAAAACGGCGTCCAGTTGGCTGGGAAATGACGATTGAGGACGGTAATGGTGTGGATCCGGTGGCTGACCTTGAAACGAGTTTTTTGCTGCATATAGTCACAGACACTACGCATGCGCACATCTTCGATGTTGCCAAGTTGCGAGATTATTTTGGAATTATTTTCAGTAGAAAACAAATATGTGCTTTTCATAGTATTTTTTTTTGTTATGGAGGGCTTAAAAAAAAGGAGATTTATCGGCAATGGGCAAATTTGAAATTTCTGTCCCCACTTTTAAAGCAGCTTTCCTCAGTTTTGACAGCGAGCATCGCTGACGCTATTTTTTCAATCATAATTTATAGTTAATTTATTTATACCTGTGTTTATACCAAGGATTTATATTATTATTTTAATATTTCGCACAACACGTGAACGCTTATTATATTTTCATAGTCAATAAAATTAAATAGAAATAAAACTCTAGATTTTTCAAATTAATCTAATTGTCTAGATTATTATGACTATGTTTTATAGGGCTTTATGGAAAAATTCGGGAAATTATATGTCCAAATTATATACTTTCAATTTTTTAAATGATGTAGCTCCATGTCATGTTCATAATAGGTTTTCTAGCTACTAAGATTCCTCTATTCTTACACCTAATTTATGTGATTTTCTTAGCTATAATATTATTTATAAACCATATTTTTCTAAGGTGGAAGGATGGAATAGGATATGCAAAATTAAGATATTTTAACCACAGTTTGAACAAAGCATAATAGTAGTATTAAGATTAAGACTTCAATAAATATTATCAAAGAAAGATCTTAATAGTGAAAATGTTTTTTTTTTTTTTATTTTATTTAACAATTATATATCTTTTTATTAGGATCCTAGCTTGCTACAGCAGTGGCAAAGAAGCGATACCCAGATCAGACAAGACATAGCAGCAAAGATGCTGTTTGTGAACTACATTTTCTAGATGAAGATATTTTGACTCATTATGAGATCAAGAAATTAACTGGCTGAACTATCAGTAGAATTGAGCGGGGTAGACCATTATTAAAAGGAGGGTTCAATTCCAAGAATTTTCCTAACCTGCCTTCATATTTCTCTAGTAATAAAAGAAAGAGAGAAACCACCAAAATCACAAACTAAGTCTTAATTTGGTCTTGTATAAACACAGGTATAAAACTAATAAGATCAAAACTCAACCTTCACCATATTGTCAAGATTTGGCGTTATAGGAAACAAGAAATTGCAGTAAATTAAGAAAAGAATATCAAAGTACACCATATTAAATACTGTAATGTATTCTACGACATAAACCATCTCCCTTCTAAAGAGAAAAAGATAAAACATAAAGCTTATTTTAGTCTTATCAACACTCTTCGATAAAATATATGTCTAAAATTGCTATTAATCCACTAACTTGATATTTTTAAGAAATTATATGATACAAACATTATAGGTAAAATATGTTACCTCTATCTCCCATTGACGTTTATTGTTCTATAAGACTCGTCATGGTAATATTTCAAAACATCAGTATACATATAATGAATTTATTGTTGCCTGTAAATAACTAGAAATTAAATAACTTGAAGAAATAAAACATAATTTAATGAGTTTAGTGGAATTAGTTAATAGAAACAAAAGTTTGTAATGTGATAATATTGCTAAATAAATATTTGTATGATGAAATCAAGTCAAGCTGATATATACATATTCCACAACTCTGTATTTTTGTGCTTTTGAAATAAAACTGAGTACATTATTTATTCATTAATATTTTATTTACAAACCTACCTTATATTAATAAAGTGAATATCAATAGAAAAACCTTTACAATTATTAGGTGACATTGAATATAATATATCTTGAATTTAATTGTCTACGAAACAGTGACAATTTGCAAAACTTTTGCTAATGACATTAAAACTTACAATTCAACGCTAGAAAAAAACGCTATTGAACACAGGAAACGTTTCAGCTCAATATACCTACTCTCTAGTTTCAGCTATAAAATTAAGAAAAAATCTGTAAAATGATAAGTTTTAATTTTAATGTAAATATATAAATAAATGTTATTATTATTCAACCACTTCCATATCTCTGTTATTATTACGTACAATTTTATATATTCATAATACTTTCATTTCACAATACGTTTCTAAAATTATCCTTGGTTACAATTTGGATATCAAGATAAATCTGAAATTATAAAATTAATTATAAATTTGTATTATTATTGATTAACAGTCAAAAAAAAGTGTAACTGCAAATAATTCGAAAATAAACTGCAATTTGCGCCAACATCGACGATGTCGCGCTTGCAGTATCGATGATCAAAATGCAGCATAATTTTTGCCTTCAATTCGCCGGATCACACCTTTTTACCCAAATTCTATAATTAACCGTTTGGGTAAAGGTGTGGATCCAGTAGCTGACCTTGATGCCCATATTGCTGTAATTGATCATCGATACTACACGCGCACATCGTCATAGTCATCGCTGACGCTATTTATTTCAATGATATTATTTGCAGTATGAAATTTATACCTGTGTTTATCACCAATATTTATATTTATTATTAATTTTATAATTTCAGATTTATCTTGATATCCAAAATTAAGGTAAGAAGGATAATGAAGATTCGGTGAAATGAAAGCATTATGAATATATAAAATTGTAATAATAACATTTATTTATATATTTACATTAGAATTTTTACGGATTTTTTTTTAATGGTTTTAAACTTATTAGAATTATTTTATTTCTTTCAAGCTATTTAATTTCTAGTTATTTACAGGCAACAATAGTTTTGATTATATGTATTGATATGTTTTGAAATACTACCATGACGAGTCTTATAAAACAATACACCTCAATGGGAGATATAGAGGTAAAATTTTACCCTATAATGTTACTAATATAATATACTTTGATTATAATGTTTGTATCATAATTTCTTAAAATATCAAGTCAGTGGATTAATAGCAATTTTACGAAGAGTGTGTTAATAAGACTAAAATAAACTTGATGTTTAATCTTTTTCTCGTTAGAAAGGGAGATATTCTTTTCTTAATTTACTGTAATTTCTTATCTTATAATGCCAAACCTTGACAATATGGTGAAGGTTGAGTTTTGATCTTATTATTTTTATAAAAGGTTTTATACCTGTGTTTATACAAGACCAACTTAAGATTAGTTTGTGATTTATATTAAAGATCTTTCTTATAATATTTGTTATGTCTTAATCTTAATACTATATTATGCTTTGTCTGGAAAATAAATGTTAAAATATCTTAATTTTGTATATCCTATTCCATCCTTTCATTAGAAAAAATATGGTTTATAAATCATATTATGCTAAGAAAATCACATAAATTAGGTGTAAGAATAGAGAAATCTTAAGGTAACAGAAAAATTAATGCAATATATGTATAAGCAGAATTAAACAAGGTAACTGTAAATGTTGCTGAAGCTGATTCTACAATTTTAATTACGGAGGCTAAAAGGCCTTTTAAGGCCACCGTAGTTTTGATGGAATGTTAAAAAAAAACTATTATGAACATGACATGGAGCTACAGCCTACAGCATTTAAAAATCAATAAAAAGAAAAAACTAGGACACATCCCTTTTAATTTCCCGAATTTTTAATAAAGCACTTTTGAAACGTAGCATAATAATCTAGAGCAATTAGATTAATTATAGGAATCTAGAGTTTTATTTCTATTTAATTTTATTGACTATGAAAATACATAATAAGCGTTCACGTTTCACGTGTTGTGCGAAATATTAAAATAATAATATAAATAATATACCGGCGTACTGTGATTGAAAAAATAGCGTCAGCGATGACTGTGAAATGAAGATCGCTGTCATTTTATATGGAAAATGTCCTCAATCGTCATTTCCCAGCCAACTGGACGCCGTTTTTCGATCATACGGTATATATTGACAAAAAAACACTGAAAAGCACATATTTGTTTTCTACTGAAAATAATTCCAAAATAACTTGCAATCTGGCAACATCGAAGATATGCGCATGCGTAGTTTCTGTGACTATATGCAGCAAAAACTCGTTTCAAGGTCAGCCACCGGATCCACATGAATTGACATAACTTTTGGGGTTATGTCCTAATTCTTCCCTATTTTAAGTCTTTTTTATTAGTGACAATTGAACAATATGGATATTTTTTTGTCTGGCGTATGACGTCACAGGTGGTATGCGCAAACTTAACGAAATTGGAGCCGCCTTCGATCATACCTTGTTTTCTTTCTACCATGCGCGCGAACTGTCGCCTCTTGTCTTATCTACTCTTTGCCTTTACCTAAATTTCTTTTCTCCCCATAAATACCCGTTACCTATATAACCCACTCTCTTTGCCCATTCCTAATTAACTTGATAAACGATCTAAATGCAGATAACATATGAACTGCATATGAACCACATATGAACTATTTTACATATTACATGCCACTTCTTCTACTCTTCTGTCCTTCTGTCAGATCTGTCAATGGTCGGTTCGAGTTTCGAGTGGTTCGACAAGAAAGCAAAAGTCCAAAATTACGAAGGGCTTAATCCAAAATCCAAAGAAAAAATGGCTCTATATTTATTACAATATCAAAACGACGGGAGAAAAAATTAAAATAAATTATTCAGTCAAGTATACTAAAAGTATTTCATATTTATGTGAATTATTATATGGGTATGCGAGATGGACGTTAAAATATCTATGGGGGAAGAGAAAACCATTTGTAGAACTTGTTTGAAACTTCTAGATAGGACTGGATTTATGTACCTAGATGATGAGAATGGATACATTAAAAATGTTGGGAATATAAGAGAAATACTTCAATTTTGTATTCCTGAGTTGGTAAGAGAACTTGTTAATTTTTGCTATGAAAATTTACCAAATCAAATACTAATCTGAATTTATAGGATTTATATGTATCTTCAGAGCCAGTTATATGTTACCAATGCTTACATATTCTTGTTCAAGTTTACAATTTTAAAATGAAATGTCTAAATATTGAAAGCAGTATTAGAACATATATTACAAGACATAATCTTATACATAATCAAGTTAACTTAAACCTTATTCTGAGGGAAGAAATTGTATTGAAGAAGGCAAATAAACGGAAGCATACTACAAATGACCACATAGGCATTGATAACTCAGATGAAAATGTATTAAAGTTAATAGAAGACATAAATTTAAATAGGACAAAAGCAGATAATGCAGAAAATCTTCAAGTGAATTACGAGGATTACAGAGTACATAACATGGAAGTAGAAGTCAACTCTAGTCACATTGGAAATATCACAGAGAAGAATGATGAAATAAATATAAATAATAAGATTAAAGAATGTAATAGTATTGATATTAAATTAGAGGTAGATATGCCAGAGGATAGAAATTTAGAACTAGTTGATAAGAACGAAAAAACAAATATATATACCAAAAATACAAATTGTATTAACAGTGATCCTGAATTAGAGACTAATGAACACCAAAATTTAGTTGTGGTAAGAAAAGATCTGTTTGATAGAACTAAGACTAAGAAAACAGCAAAACAAAGTATTTTAAACAGTACACTTATACCAAAAAATGGTCATATTATTCTTAAAATTAATCGTAATAGAATAGAACATGTTGCTGAAGACACAGCTAAAAAAAATGATACTACTAATAAAGCAAGGTATAATTAGAATTTCAAATAGTAAATCTGTAATTTCAAAATTTTTGTTCTAGTTTATTAACAAGTGATGATGGTGTAACTACACTTATACCTAATCTTGCGATAAGCAGTTTGGAATCTCAGAATGTACTTGATGATGCTGCTGCTGCAACTTCACAAAATGATCCAAATGCCCCGGTATTTAGTTGTAGTAAATGCAGTTATTTAACAAGCGATATAATAAACATGTATGATCATAATCGCAATTTTCATACTTTTGAATATACTTGTCAACATTGTCCTTTTAGTACTTCTAAAGTTGAACTTCTCGGTAAGCAAATTCTTAGTAATTAAATTTAAATAACACAATTTTTTCTTTTAATTTTTGTAATCTTTAATGTTAGTTTTGATTTGATTTTTTTTTGTTTTTAACTAGCTGACCTGAGTAAGGCTCGTATTTATAGTTGAATGACTCCAGTCACAAGATGCAAAAGATTGACAAAAATAACAGGCTTACCTTTCGTCGCCCGTATACACGCGCCTATTAAGCCTGTTATTTTTGTTAGTCTTTTCTGAGACCCAGTTCGAGACGCGACTATAAATACGGGCCTAAATTCGTACCGCCTAAAGCCCCGTTCCCAGAACAGCGAATGTCATCCCAGAACAGCGAGAGACACATCAAAAGAGCCAATCAGATTTGTACAAAATTCAAACAGCTGTCAATTTTAAATTTAGTACAGCTCTCGGTTTTGGTTGTTTGAAACGTCAAACTGTGTCACCAGCGACACGACGTTGTTCTGAGAACGAGGCTTAATAGTGAAGTGATTTTTTTTGTCAGTCTTGTGCTATGGGCTATGGATAACTGATTCATATATAGGGTGGCGCACCTCATTCGCCTCGGTTGATTATACGAAAACGAAAAGATGTAGAAACAAAATATTTTATGGGTATGTAGAGAGGCAATGTGCATAATTTAAAATTATTTTGAAATGTACAGGGTATGTCAGAACTAAGATCGATACCAAACTTATATTTTTTCTTATGGAACGCCCTGTATTTTATTTCATTTTTGGATTCTTGGATAAGGCATTTATTATAAGCGTTTAATGTATAAAAGCTTTGGTTTTTGAGATATTTAAAGATATTTAAATATGCATGCTATAGTAAGCTACGGCCGGGTGGCCGGCCGTAACTCCAGCGTTAGTGTGTCGATCTGCGGAGCAGAAGGTACTGGGTTCGATCCCCAGCCAGTACGGTCGCTTTATTTATTTAAATAAAAATATTTATTTATCTAAATAGAGCGACCATCGAGCCGCCACCTCAAGGAAGGCAATGGCAAACCACCTTGAGTATATTTTCCTTGTACAGCATCTCAAAATAGTGCCGTTCGGATTCGGCTATAAACTGTAGGTCCCGTGTACTTGTGAAACACTGATGACACACATCACAAGTACATGCGAGAGGTAGCCGACGCTCTATGTAGAGTATGGCACTGTAAGAAGATAATAAAAAAGTTTGTCAACACCTTGTACATTACTTTTCAGAATTAATTATTGTGCTGACTTTCAAGCCAGAGAAATAAACTTTACTAAAAAAATTGATTGCTTCCTTAAATGTATACAGGGTTTATCAACAATGGCTGGTATATTTTACATATTTATTTTACATAAAAACTTCGTTATTTCAAATACAACACTAGGTATTTTTTTGAATAAGCCGAAGCAGATTTAAATGCTCTTTCAAACTATATTAGGGTTTCCTATACCTATCTGGCTCAGATTTTGAATAAAAAGCGATTTTTCATTAAAATTGTAATCAAGATGGCTGGTGTCGCCACGGCAATTTTCTAGTGACACTTAGCTATTTTCAAAATCGACATTAGTTTATGGATTTTATTTAAATTTATAACGGGTTATTTTTATTTAATTTTACCTACAATAAGGTTAATAAGTAAGTATGTATTATTTTACTAGCGTGTACCAGCGACTTCGTTCGCGTCGAATTAATCATTTGTAATGGTGATGATAAAGCAAAGCAAGAATTTCCATTAACATGCAAACTGGATAAAATTTTCTCACATTTATGTCAGCATGAGAAGAAACAATATGGCGATATTATATAACTTGGTAATATTTGAGGGGTAGTTTCATCTCGTTGGAATTTGACTTTCAAAAAATCCGTTTGCCAAAAATAAGCTTTTTACGTCGTGGAAAAGAAATTACCCAACTTTTTGGAACACCCTGTATGATTTTTTAAAAAATTTCAAAATATGTATAAAAAACAAATAAATTATGCTTGTCCAAGCGTTTTCCCGAAAGACTAACCGTTTTTTAAATAACAAATATTGTAATATTTGAGGGGCGTTTTCACCCTCTTGGAATTTGATTCGAGAAACCCCTCCTTATCGAACCTCTACACCCCACAGTCAATCCGTTTGCCAAAAATCAGCTTTAAACGTCAAGCAGTTTAGCAGAATCGTGATTACTCAATGGTCATATTTTATGAAACACCCTGTATAAATTTATAAAAAATCTTAAATTTTTTTTTCTAATTTATTTATTAATGACTTCAAAACAGTACAATAACTGACACCGAGGCCTAAATACAATTTTTATAAATATATCTAAAACTTTAACAAGTGAGATTATACAATAGCAATTTCAATTATAGGAAGTCACATTATAACAATTTTATATCTATAAGTTCAATTTATAACAAAGTTTCATTACTGTTTGGCTTTGTAAAAGTCTTTTAATTGTTTACTTAGTTTTGTGCATTCTTCATTTTGGATTGTAGTTGGAAGATCATTAAATGTTTGGACACTTCTGTATACTGGAGAGTCTTGACATGTTTTTGTAGCACTATACCTATTTCTGTATGTCCCTCTAGTTTTGTATTATATGAGTGATGGTCACTGCTTTTATTTAATGCAACATTTGTTTTAATAAGTTTATTTTTTATGTAATAAATTAATTTACATTGTTCATATTGTTTTATTTAAGATTTAAAAGTGGCACTTGTTTATATAACTGCTTAGTAGGAGTTCCATAATTAATTGAAAAAATAGTCTTTATCGCTTTGTTTTGTGCTTGTTGTAGCCGTTCCATCATGTATTGACTTGCAGTTCCCCAGCATGGTATTAAATATCTTAGGTGAGGCTCTATCATACTGTTATAGAGTAGATATTTTGTTGTGGTATTTAATTGATGAACGCACCTTTTTATTGATCCTATTATCGCACAGTGGGCAAAAATCCAGAAGTATGTTGCAAAAATTCTTTTTTTGTACGATTTCATTCAAATTTGGTGAAAACATTCTATACCAGTAGCCCGTGAACCCAGTTAGTTTTGGCTGACTTGAGAGTGGTTGGGAGTGGTGGGAGGGATTTATAAAATGGGAAAAATCATCTTTTGATTAATACAACTACCAAAATGCGGTAAGAATATTTTATATTTCACTAAATTTTACGATTTTTGGCAGAGCCAAGATGAAACAGACAAATATTGAGCAATTATTACTCCTCCGGCATATACAGGGTATATATATATATATACCGTATGATCGAAAAAAAACGGCGTCCAGTTGGCTTGGAAATGACGATCGATGACATTTCCCATATAATTTTACATATAAAATGACAGCGATCTTCATTTCATAGCCATCGTTGACGCCGTTTTTATTCGATCATACGGTATATATATATATATATATATATATATATATATATATATATATATATATATATATATATATATATATTGTTACGTTTTTCGTCGGTTCCGTGTGGATAGAAAGTCACAATTTATTTAATACACTATTTATTTAACACTAATTAACAAAAACAATAACGATAAAAGACTTATAGAACTATTTACAAACGATTTATAACTAAGAATTTATTTTGAATTTTAGCGCGTCAACTGCACTGGTCGATTTATAACTGCCCCCTGTAGGCCACAGCCGCCGGCTTTTATACCGACAGGTAAAGGACTCTAGAATAGTCCATAGATCGTTAGGTGCATAGAGAAGGTTTCGATTGTTCTTGTATGTACTACTCCATTCCAGTAGAACTCGATACTTCTCGAATATTCGAATGAATCATTACGGTGTCTATGCGATGTTAAGGTCATCCGAGGGCGGGCCATATTGTTAGGTTAGGTCGAGTCCACACCGGTCCGCAACACTGCCCCCTTCTTAGGTACATGCTCGTCCCGAGATGTACACGGTGAATGAAGGTATTTGCAAAGCTGGCCCCTGGTACATTGCGAAGTCTGGTAGAAATAGCAGTCTACAGTTTTCTCTCCCGATCTCAGCTTTGGGTTGTAGCAGCAAACAAGGATCTCGATTCCCGTAAATCTGAACAAGACTTCAATCATGTTCCGGATTGTACGCCAACTCAAACCATCGAGTCCACACGCCAGCTTCGGTATGGCTAATCGTGTAATGATGTTGTTTAGCAAGGCTTCTCTGAGTTCAATCAGGGTGTTCCATAGATTGAGATAAGTCGGCTTACTCGGCGACCATTCCTTAGTGACTAGGTAGAAGATGTGTCTTGCTTGACCATGTGCATTGTCGGTTAGCCTCAAGACGCTTCCAACCTCTGGATCCTGTCGGCGTAGTTCTCTGACACGCCCAAACTTCTCATTGAACGTCGCAGCGATTCCTCTGGACATCCGCAAACCTCGGGCCACACAATGAGCGAGCGAATAATCAGGAGGCACGGAAAAGAGGTCTCGTTGATCTTCTTTGGTTACACCATAGCGAGCCTTCTCACTGCTGTTGTATCGGGCCATGAAATCGTCAAAGGACATCTCCGAATCAGGGGGATCAAAGCTGCAAGTTCTCACGGTCCCAGCACGATCTTCTATTTCGCCTTGGTAAGGGCTCAAACGGTTGAAATGGACTACCCTCGGTTTTCCTTTTGGTAATTTTCTGATACGGTATACGACGTCATTAATCCTATCCATGACTTCGTATGGCCCTTCCCACGAGGATTGTAGCTTCGGAGATAACCCACGACGTCTCTGCGGGTTGTATAGCCACACCAACTTCCCTGGTTGGTATCCTCCATGCTCAGCTTGAATGTCGTAGTGTTCCTTCATTCGGTCACTAGCACTTTGAATATTGAGGCGGACTCTCTGATGAATGAAGCTCCATGGGAACTGAACTTCTCTGAAGCTCCATGGGAACACCAAACCTGCAGATCCATTCTTTAACAAGGGCATCAGCAATCGTGGACGCTTCTTGATTTGGCAACGCGTAGGCCTCGACCCATTTGCTGAAGTAATCCATTACTCCGGGAAAGGACCAGCCACGTCGATCGCTATTCGT